TTGTGTGATTTTTTTTATATATATATATATATATATATATATATATATATATATATATATAGTTGGTTGTCAGAATATGCACTGCACCCTTCTAACTTCTTCCACTGGATCCGAGTGCTCTTCCAGCTCATCACACGAGCTCCAGCCGGAGACCGGTCCCTCTAATGGGGGCATAATAGGGATGGCGTCCGCGCTGATGCCGTTCGGCGTAATGTGATGGCTCAGGAAATGATCCTCGCATATCTGATGTTGATCTGTGATTTCGCGCTCAGTCTCCCGTAAAGCGGCCAGCCACACTTTCACTCGGGCCTTGTTCTTGGGGAAACTGAAAAACCTCTTGCGCGGTCGGCTCGATTGCTCTCCCGGTCTGAGATCCCTGTGGTTTATGCATCCTTGGACCACACACTTCACCATTGTCGCTACACGCTGCCAGATTATTTCGCCACATTCAATCACATCAACGTGCATGTGCAATGTTTACACGCATCACGAGAGGAAATGCGAAACACGACGTCACGTGATGCCGTCTGACCAATCAAATGATGTGATTCTCTGCTTCATGTTTTCTCTATTGGATAAGCGCACCTAGTGACATCTAGTGCAATGGAGAAGTACTACCATTTTATACTACACCATCCTTTTTAATGTCTGCATTGTCTTGTTTTTTTGTTTTGTTTACGTAGATGTATTAATATTTGATATAGGCGTGTGTCAACATTTCATTTGCATATTGTATGTATGAGCATTCATCATTCTGTAGCATATATGTATGTGCAAATGTTGCTAATTTTATACTATATATGCATATAGTATAAAATTTACATGTTTCCGTTTCACCAACTCATTTAACAATTTACATTCTAACCAAACAACAAAAACGTTGCAAAAACACGTACTGGTGGATACTGCACATGTTTACAACTGTCCACACATGTACGAAGTAGAGTTTGTTTTAATAGCCTAAATAGCAATTTATTAATAAAAAACATTAAACATAATTTTGGTTTCATTGCAAATGTAAATGATTAAATTAACATAAATCTCATAAAAGTACATTAATAAACAAAACTGGAAAATAAAACACAATAACGGCTTTTATATTTTATATATTTCAGATCGCCAGTAAACGAGGGAGCAGATGATGGCGTAAAGAGAACAGCTTTATTATTATTATTATTATTATTTTATTATAAACAGATGTAACAATGACAATATATCACATGCCAGGGAGCAACAGAATAATGTACCTTTTGAACAGATATACAGTTGTAAAGAGAACAGCTGAATCGTCCATTAAAGCAAAACAACCTTTCAGAACCGTTCATTAAAACGAAAAAAAAAATGGAGGAAGTTAATTTAAAGGAAGTTTTCGAAAGTTTCGCGGAAATGAGTCGGACTTCCCATCAAAGTGAAGTCTGGCACCCTTACCAACGTCTGCCTTTCAGCCAATCAGATCGACTGAACGCAAGTTGCATAATTAATATTCATGAGTCAAGCCTTCACTGTAGTAGGATTTGTAAATGCGTTTGGCGGACTGTGGGGTGTTGTACTGCCGTTTTTTACCAGCAGTGGACAGCAGCAAGCAGCAACAGTCTCTCCAGAGGTGGATGTGGATGAGTGTGTGTGGGATTGAATCAGGGCGAACTGGGCTGCCACTGTCACAGCACAGAACTAATACAATAGCGAAACATGGCTACTGAGACGATATCAGCCTGCACCGGATCCAACTTACTACAGCCAATAAGCGAGATAACCAACCTTCCGTTAGATCAGGTACATTTCTGTTATTTGTATTTTGTGAAATGAGTACTGGAGGCACAACAACCCTCATCACAGCTTTCATTGGCATCCAGGTCCTTCTACAAATCCTTTACAGGCTGTGCACGAAAACATTTGGTAAGGACGATGAAAAAAACGTTGCATTTTTAATGTTTCCTCCCGAAATTCATGACGTCTTCCTGAGCAATCGCATATTTCCGTCGGATGGAGTTGATGGTATGCTCGTGAAACGTGTCATTTGCGTGATGAAATGGATGGTGGACTGCTCGAGGATTTACAAATGTGGACATTAGCGAATTTAATTAATATACAACCTAGATTAATGTAGGCGTAGATCATATAATACAGGGGAGAAAAAACACTAGACAGTGTCAGGCACTTTTTGGAAACGTCACGATGTCGTGCTACCCAAGAGAGTCTTTTTAAAGGTGTTTTTTTGTGGTTATCATTTCTGTTTGCTTAAAGTTAACACACATATATTGCACAGGAAAATGTTTACATATGTGATGCTGCTCATAGCCTAGTAAGCTGTCTCGGGGGTGGATTTAGTGAATTGGGGGCCCCAGGCAAAATATAGGAATGGGGACCTATACAGTTGCACACATTTTCCTAGATCAACCTTGAGGTTCCTTTTTTGTTGTGATACTTGCTGCTGCACAATGGTGCCCCATAGTTGTGTCCAATGTTTCTACATTTTTCATGTACATGTTATAATGGCTTTCTTTCATGTTGTAGACCACGAAATAGCAACTGATTTACAGTTGAGATACAGGTTTTCACAAAAACAAAGTAAATTATAAAATGATAAAGCTCACAATTGAGCGTTTAAACCAGGGGTGAGTCAGAAGTATAAATTATTATATTAATTTAAAACAGGGTCATGTGGGATTTTCACATTGGTCTGAACAAAAACTACAGACTGGATTATTGAAATGAACAGTCATTCTCTGCCAGTAGGAGGCGCTTTTGGAACGTCAGAAACATAGAATGATAAAATTGTGAAAAAATATAGTCTATATTGACGAGGAAAGCCCACTAATGAGTTACCAGCGTAAGCCTGTGTGCAAAGGCTGTCTAATTCTAAACTTCAAAATAAATTTATTTTTATTTTATTATTTTATTTATTATTCATTTATTGTTATTTGAACTACAAAATTTAAATAAAACTGAAAAAATAATGAAAAGGCAGTTATACATTTACACACCTAAGGATTATATCAACCAAAAAAGTAACTGCGTATGCGTCCTCTACTTGGTTCCTTCTCATAAATGAGTAAGTGGCATTTAAAACAATTATAAACACATAATACAGACTGTTTCTCAATATTTAATTACAGCTTCAGATGCATAATATTTTCATCTCCTTCAAGCAGGATACACAAAAAGCACGTTCAACTCGGACGGTTGTCGTGGTAATGAACACCATAAACAGCAACCGTTCGCGTGTCAGCACTTAATGCGCATATCCTATGAAAAGCATTTTAGGGGGCTCTTGGCTTTTGGGGGCGCAAGGCGGTCGCCTACCTTTGCCTAATGGGAAAGTCCACCCCTGAGCTGTCTATGTAGACAGCATTTTGGGATGACCATGAAATGCTGTCTAGATAGGCAGCTCACTAGATTTGGAGACACCGTTATGGCTCTGTGTGTACCACAGAGAATGGCAGCTTGGGTAATTGCCTTGTTTTGAATCTGTGTTCTCTAAAAGACATTTACAAACTAAAACAAATTAATTGAAATCACATTGCATGGTCAATGATGTGGTGTCATTTTCACCCAGGAAATATTAAAGCAATTTTAACAGGATGTTTTGAGTGTTAGACTTTCTCTGCATTGATAAATATCATATCAAAACATTTCCGGTGATGAATTAAAGATTTGTTGTCATGATAGATGGGAAAAAATCTATTAGGCCTACATTGCAAGCATTTACACCTGAAATGACAATTTTTATAAGTCTACATTTATTGATTTGTAAATCGCTTGTACCTGTATTGTATAGCTATATTTAAATGAGAGGCCAAACAAGAAACCAACATCCATGACCTAAGGTCAGGGACAGAGGCTTATGGGAGTGTACGACATATTATGAAGATAGATGCTGATGGTGCTGATTACCTTTCTCACTGAAATATTTCCGAGCGATAATTGATAGATGTTAATTTGGGCTTTTTGTTTAAAAGCCTTAACCCTTTATCTCTGACCAAATGATTGACAAGATTGTATTGAAGAATGGACACAAGCCATTGTTTTATGCAATATCTAACTTTGTAAAAAATGTCTTGATCATTTTGTGGTGATTATGTGGATTGTTCAGACACTGGTTTTATGAAACCATGAAACCAAACACCAAAATGCTTCTATATTGATTTAGTACCGAGAGGATTTTAGTAAAGACATTTGAAGAGATGGAGCTGTCTGTGCACACATTTTTACTGCAAACAAAAGGCAAACATTCTGTTCAAAAGCTTGGGGTCAGTGAGATTTTTAAATGTTTTTAAAGAATTCTCTTATGCACACGAAGACTGTATTTATTTGATTAAAAATACACTAATACAATAATATCATGAAGTATTACTACAGTTTAAAATAGCTGTTTCTGTTTTAATATATTTTATATATATTTCTGTGATGTCAAAGCTGATTTTTAGCAGCCGTTACTCTTCAGTGTCACACGATCTTTCAAAAATCATTCTAATATCCTGATTTGGTGCTCAAAAATATGAATTATTATCATCACTGCTGCAAACAGTTTTTGTGGAAACCATGATTGCATCTTACTGAATAAAAGTATCAATTTCTTTAAAGAAAAATCATCCAGACCTCAAACTATGGAATGGTCGCGTATGCTCCATATATAGACACTTTAGATGTAGGTTTCGTAGAAAAGTTACCTCCTCTAAGGTGTCCTGTTGATGGAGAATAACTCTAAAGTGAGAACAGACTTTAATGTGAGCAGTACTTGGCTAGCATTGCTCTCCCTCTGCCAGAAACTGGACTCCTGTTACACTTGGGCCTAAAAGAGAGAAAGTCTCTAATGCCTTTTGTCTCTTGTGCAGTTTGTGGTTAGTTTGGATCAGACGATTTCCCTCGTTTCCTCTACAACAGGATGTCGTCTTCGGTTCTGTTTTGTACACATTACAGCTGCATTCATCAAATGACAGCACATTTATTTGTTGTTCTGAGGTCACAGCAGGTCACCAGCTTCAGGGCTTTTAAGATTCACATCAAGAACATGCCATTTCACAGCCGTGTATAGTTTGGTCAAAAGGTCAAAAGGGGGCAGAACGGTCTGTTTGTTTGACCAGTAGCAAGGGCAAGTGTTTGGGGAAACCTTTTTTTTTTTGTAATATGTAAAGTGTATTCTGGGGTTGTGGTCTTATCTGTATCGGCCAATATGTGATTTGTTAGTAGTACCAGTTAGTTATAAATTATGTACAGTATTTGCCATTTTATTAATTATCTTCCATGACATTAAAATAATTATTGGTATCATCAGCCAACATTTCCATATTAGTGCATCCCTGGTGTATTCAGCAATCAATTCATTTATAGTATTCAAAACTATTTTTGTCATTCTTTTTTTTTTTTTAATCAAGATGACAGAATTTTGTATCTACCATTTTTGATTATCTGCCATGCCATCAAAATGATTGTTGGTATTGGCCAGAATTTCCATATCGGTGCATCCCTGGTGTATTCAGTGCTCAGGGAACACGGATGCTGGATTGCTGAGACCTTTAGTGAATCAAGAAGTGGCATGTTAACATTTTATGCTCTGCTTAACCATTTGACTGTGAGAGGTGTTGGTTTCTTGGGCTGAATGAACAGGTGAAGTGGAAGGCGGTTTTCTTATCTAACAATGCCACAATAACTGCACTTTGCTTAACAAAGACCCCATGCCTCATTAATGCAAATAACACCCGTGTGTATTGTTGTGCAGGCCTCCAAATTCATTAGTCAGCTCTTGTGTACCTGATCTGTGGAGCCTTCGCCGGTTTGATTGAGTTTAAGGCTTACGCTAATAAATCATATGAAGTGCTGATCTCAGAGCATTTGCTCGCTACATGTGCATCTATATAGCAACTAACAACAACTAGTAGTTTTGAGTTGATTTTGATTCTGAGCCCTGATCTTATGGTCTCCCACTGGAAGAGGAAGCCTCGGTGCTCTTTGCTAATTGCTCAAGGAGAGAACATTATTCCCATGGGGATCCTGATGGAAACAACAGAGTCCAAATAATTGATTTAAATAAGTGAGCTGATTTAGTGATTGATTTGGGTGTTATTTACATGTAGTTGAGGAAACAATAATTCACACTCTAAAAATAATCTCAAACACATTCTGGATGTTTAGGCTATTCAGTGAGTCATTTGTTTCTTTGGTTCCTAAATTGGCATGATGCTCTCTTAATTTGGAAACTGCTTGATCATTTTTCTTTATCGAGTAATGTGGAGCAGTGGGCTCTCTGAGTCTCTCAGAAGATGCAGATTAATTTAGCAGGTCTCCAGGGGATAAAAATCCTAGCGTGAAAGTGTTTTAGAGACTGCGGTTTACTCTGTAACTCAGCATTTTCACTCATGTGCTGGAGAAAAACAAATACTCGCGTTGCCACATTGCTATTTTGTGGATTACATAACAAACAAGGCCTATCCAAGAATTATGTGTGCAACCAAAGGTTGGCCTTATAAATCTTTTAACTAAGAGACATTTAAAAACACTTAAAATACCTTAAAATCGAAATACAGACATACAGAGAGTGATTATTCTAAAGGTCTTTTTTTGTGAAAAGCTACACATTTTAAAAATCAGGCATTTACATGTGATGCATTCTTGTCTTCATAAACAGCAGATGGAACACAGCAGAATGGAACACATGTTTTCAAAAGTGGAATAATAATTTTTAATAGCTATTAATTTAAAAATATATCTGTTATGAGTCACTATTACATTTTTTTAAATTAATTGATCCATATCAATTGATATTGACTATTTAA